GAGAAGATGGATCTCAGGGTAAAGGAAAAAAGCAGCTCAGATAAATTTAGGGTTTGGTTACTCCTAAAGACCACCATGTCATTGTGTTCCCAGTAAGCAACGAGCTAGATTCCATGGAGGGTCACATGTGGAAGAGAGAGATGCTTTCTGACCCCCAGGAATTTGTAGGATTGAGGTGGGGAGGGACACTTGCAGGTAGATAAGCCACCTTTCTAAACCGTGCAGCACAGAGGAAGCTTTGAGAAAAGGGTTGTGTGTAACGCTTTGGTCTCTCCACATGAGATCTTTTTGAGGTCCTGGCAGCAGGACCCAGGAGTTCAGTGCATGTCACTAAATAATGCTAAGCACAGCAAGACTCTCAGCTACTGTGCTAAGCAAAGCTGAGAATTAGCAGAAGAGCAAGTTGGTGAAACACCTGGTGAGCTCTCACCGCGCAGTTTCAGGCTCTCTTCACATTGGCTGCCATGGCAATCATGGGGTGTGAGGTGGGGAGTGGATGGCGTGTGCCCGGGGAGTGGTCTAGTTAGGGGCTCTGCTGACCTGTGATGTTTCTGCCTCAGTCCATGTCGATAGCCTTTTTGGAGATTTGAACTTCGTCGCCTCTCCTATGCTCAGCCCCCACCCTCACTCCCCCCAACTTGAGACACTTCCCCGTGATTATTATAGGGTGGCTTCATGTTGCTGTGGTTATGGCTCTTGAACTGATTAATGATGCTCAGAGTGAAACTGTAGTCTTGTGAGACAAATCTGCAGCTCATTGAGCAGTCAGGGTACCCCTCCCTAACCCCCCAGGGCACCCCTCCCTGACTTACACTTCCTTTTACTCACTCTTACTCCTCCCCCAGCCCACACTCCCCAAAGTTTTTTCTCATGTTTTATGTTGAGCTGAGGAGGGAACTTAAACTCAGGGAAGGACTGACCCCCTGGTGACTCAATAAGGCCACAACACTCAGCTTCCAACTCTTGGGGAGAGTAGCCACTCCCACCCTCACCAGGACTTGCTCCCACATGGCATCACGGCACTATCACTGGAAGGGAGAGGCGTTGATGGAGGAGGGAGGAGGGCTTCCCAGGCACTGTGGTCTTTGAACATGTGGGTGTGGCATTGAGCAGGAGCAGGAGGTGGAAAACCATGAATTTTAATGAGTGAAATGTTGTCTGGATTTGTTATCCAACCTCCTTGTTATCCAGACTCAGACTCGTGCAAAAGCAGACTCCTTAGCATTTGGGCATCATGTGGATTTCCACCCTTCTCCCCAAGCCAATTATGTCCTCATCTCACTACTGTCTCCTGTCTATCTGGAAAGAACGGTTTAGTGCAAAGAGTGTGTTGGAGACAAGGAAAACCATGGTGTTCCAGCAATTTCCTCATCCCCTCTCTCCATGACTAAATGTGGAGCCTTTGCAAAGCAGGAACCTTGGTGAGTTGCAGAGAAATAATCCCTCCCATCTGGAAGCTAGTGACCCAAGGAAGACTATCCTGACTCAGACAGAGCATCCAGACCACTTTATATAGACGCTGAGTAAAACCGTGAATAAACAAGTAAATAACCAGGACTCTGTGGTGAGCAGAAAAGCTCTCTGTTGTGAGTATATTGCAGTTATAAGGGCTAGGCCATCCGTTCAGTTAACCTAAACTTAGTAGGACCTACTATGTGCAAAGATGGGGGAGATGCTGTAGAAATTTAAAAAAAAAATGTATCCTTGGTTGTTTTGTGTATGAGATACTGTAGGGATTTTATTTTTTAAAAAAATACCCAACTTAACCCCTTACTGTTGGTTTTTAAACAAATTATTTTAGGATTTCTTTATACTTCTAAAAATTATTAAGTACAACCCAGTGACTTTTGCTTAGGTAGAGTATGGCTGTTGCGACTTCTTTCGGTTCTAATCCACCAACTGCTCTTTGGGAGAAGGATGGGGAATCTCCTCCTGTGTAATTAAATGCCTCTGAAAACCTGCCAAAGGGTCGGTTCTGACTCGATGGTACACAACAACAACAACTTTTATATTAAAAAATAAAACTGGGGAAAATGTCAAAGCAAAGCACAAATACATCCGAGATATTGTATTCTCACATGTCATTATTAAGTGTCATCAAGACTGCTTTTGACTGAGAGAGAATGCATGTGACAGAATAGGCTGTAATTGTTATGAGAAAAAAGTTTTACTGTGGGGTTGAACTTCCAACCTTTTGGTTAGCAACCAAGTGCTTAAAACAATCACACTGCCATACAACCCCAGGGAAAATGCCACACTTGGGAGGGAATAAGTGTGAAAAAGCAAAGACTATGAAAATATCATCAACCCCACAGAATTCCTTAAAGGGACGTGGGGGGAAAAGGGATGTGGGGACTCTCAAGGGTCCCTAGACTACACGTTGATAACTGTTGTCCTACTGCCTCACCTCATATGTTTTATGGTTCAAATTGGCAGATAAGTTAGGCATTAAGTTGACACTGCCCTGTGATGGAACAGGAAAAGTCTAGAAATGAGTTCACGTAAAGTGCTGTGGGATACTTTGTCACATGCTTTTATGGCTTGTCATTACAACCATCCATAAACCATCCCTGTGCTGTTACTTAGTGCAGAGAGTCTCCACTGCTGACTATGGGCCATGGTAGTGATGGGGGCAATGGTGGAGGGTAGCTGGACTAGAGCTCTCTGAATCCCTGAGAACAGGAGGAATGTGAACTTTGAGAGCGTATTTGACAAAATGTAATTTTGTGTTTGCAAAGTGAAAAAGTAGTCTTTATATAAGAACTAAAGCTTGATTAAAGCTTCTAGTTCAGGAAGATACGGTGATCCTTAGCTGAGGGGTGGGTGAGATACTTAGCAAAAATTGATTTCGGCAATAGAATACTATACAGCACTAAAGAACAACTATATAACATGGAAGAATCTAGAGAGCATTATTTTGAGCAAATTAACTCAGTCTCATAAGGATAAAATACTGCATAAGACCATTTTTGTCAAAACAGAAGGATAACTAGTAAGATGTGGACAAAAGTCCAGAAGGAGAAGGGGAGGAGGGGAACAGAGGATGGGGAAGGGAGGAAATCAATAGGAGAACAGAGTTTGGTGAACAGAGGTAGGTGTGCGATATGAAGGAATTAGGAAAGATCCAGTGGAGACCTGAAAAGACAGGGTAATAGTAGCCAAAGATCAATGGTGATTCATTTTATAAAACACAATGTACGTGAGTGATCATTTGAAACACAATGTGAATGTAGAAATATATGAAACAATGTATGTGAATGATATACGATGTATATGAATTTTGTATTCAAAGCAGTATGTTGTTGTTGTTCTGTGCCATTCAGTCGCCTGCGACTCATAGCAACCCTATGGACAACAGCCCTAAACTCCGCTCTGTCCTGTGCCAATCGCACTGTCTCTGATATTCCCATCCTGATTACCCAAGTCACTGAATCATTCCACCTCATAGAGGGCCTTCTCCTCTTGTGCTGTCCCTCCACCCTACCAAGCATAAGGTCCCTCTCCAAGGACCAGTCTCTGCTTACAACATGTCCAAAGTATGTCAGACCGAGCCTCAGAATCCTTGCCTCCAAGGAGCTGCCCGGTTTAACCCTTTCCAGGATGAATCTGTGTTTTCCTAGCAGTCTGTGGTACCCTCAATACTCTTCTCCAGCACCACAGCTCAAAGGCATCAATTCTCCTTCTATCCTCCTTAGTCACTGTCCAACCACTCTGATGCATAACAAGTGATAGCAAAGACCATGGCCTGTATCAGACCCAACTTAGTCTCCAGAGAGACACCATTGCTCTTCAGTACTTGGGAGAGGTCCCTAACAGGAGACTTTCCCATCATAATACGTCTTTTAATTTCCTGGCTACTGGTGCCGAGAGTGTTGATTGTGGAGCCAAGCAAACTAAAGCTGTGAACAATCTCATTCTCTTCACCATCCATCCTGATGCTGCCAATTGGTCCAGTGGTGAGAATCTTTGTCTTCTTGACATTGAGCATCAATCCGTATTGAAGGCTGCAGTCCTTGACCTTCTGCAGCAAGCGCTTGAGGCTCGCCTCAGTTTCAGCAAGCAGGGTTGTGTCATCTGCATAATGCAGATTGTTGTTGTTGTTATGGGCCGTCAAGTCACTTGTGACTCATAGCAACCCTATGTACAACAGCCCTAAACCCTGCTCTATCCTGTGCCAATCTCATTGCCTCTGACACACTCATCCCGATTACCCCAGTCACTGAATCAGTCCACCTCATAGAGAGTCTTCCCCTTCTGCGCCATCCCTCCACCTTCCCAAGCATGATGTCCCTCTCCAAGGACCTCTCCCTCCTTACAACATGTCCAAAGTATGTCAGATGAAGCCTCAGAATCCTTGCCTCCAAGGAGCAGCCTGGTTAACCCTCTCCAGGGTTAATGTGTTTGTTTTCTTGGCAGTCCAGGGTACATTCAGTACTCTTCTCCAGCACCAGAGCTCAATTCTCCTTCTATCCTCCTTAGTCACTGTCTAACTCTCTGATGCATAACAAGTGATTGCAAAGACCATAGCCTCTATCAGATGCACCTTAGTCTCCAGAGTGACACCATTGCTCTCCAGTACTCTGGAGAGGTCCCTAACAGCAGACTTTCCCATCGCAATATGTTTTTTTTTTTAATTTCCTGGCTACTGGTGCCAAGAGTGTTGACCATGGAGCCAAGCAGACTAACGTTGTTAACAATCTCAATCTCTTGACCATCCATCTGATGCAGATTAGAATTAAAAAAAAAGTTGTTGTTAGATGCCATCCAGTCAGCCAGGACTCATAGCGACCTTATGCACAGCACACCTGAAGTCTGCCTTGTGCTGTCCCATCTTCACCATGCCTGCTACACGGGAGCATGTTGCTCCAGTGACTGTGTCAATCCATTTGCTGAGCATCACTGACCCTTTACCCTTTTAAGCATAATGTTCTTTTCCAGCTATTGGCCTCTCCTGTTGAGAAACTCCTGCCCTTAAGTGACTATTTTAATCTCTTTTGTAGGTATTAACTCTCTGATAGCAAATAATATATATGAAGCTGCCTATCCTCTTCATGATGTAAGTATCCCACCTACCCCCCAGATCTGTGTGTTTCTTGTAACCTTTAAAAGTTGAAAACTATAGCCAGCCCCTTGGGCAGCTATGTGAAAAGCTAAACCAGAGTGAATCATGGACAGTTAAATACCTTGATCACTCTAGACTATTCACTGCTGACCAAAATAATTTAAACTGTCTCTCCAATTATTTTCCCAGACTGTGACAGAACTGGTTTGTGTCTGACCTTTCCTTATGCCTCCTGACTCTGTAGTAGGTGAATAGTGTGAAAATTCAGATGTGCATGTATATTATTAAAAGGACAAGGTGGTGGTATGGGTGGGTAGGTAGAAGGGAAGTCAAAGGCCAAGATAACAGGCAACCTCATTTCAGTGGTTTCAGACCCACAAATGGAAGTGATATTATTTTGGTGTGATTCTTTTGTAATGATGTGAGATTCTTCATCATTTTGTGGGTCAGAGCTCTCTCTTTTAAATTTAGTATTTTTGAGGAAAAAGAGCTTAACAATATTTTTAAAAATATACAATTGTTTGATTAAGCTAAGAAAATAGAATAACCAGAATCAAAGCTTTCCTTGACTGGAGGTAATGTTTTGTACACACCATGGTAAAATGGTACTGTTCTTCAAGGTGATTCCTGAAGAACTTACGTGGTCTTTGAGCTAAATGCTTTATGTGTTCACAGTTGACCTGATTGGTTGTGGCTGAGCCATATGCCACACAGGGATGCTTAAGAAGCCAGTAAAGTAGGATCCCTGACTTCCCTAATGGGAGTTTGTTGTCATTGAGTACCATCAAGTCAGAACCGACCCCTAGCTGACCCCCCAACAGGTTTTTAGAGGCAGTTAATCACACGGGAGGAGATTGCCTGTCCTCCTGTGGAGCAGCTCATAGATTCCAACTGTGTGCCTTCAGGATTGCAGTGCAGATTCTTACCCTTAGACCACCAGAGCTCCCTAATGGGAGTTTAACAGATAGAGTCTCACAGATTTCTTTACTTGGTGCAAGTGTAATGTTATGTTCTGCCCAGTTTCAAAGAAGGGAGCTCTGATGGTGTAGTCTGTAGCAATTTGCACTATTGTCTCAAAGGCTGCCCGTCTCTGATGGTTTGAATCTGCCAGATACTCTGAAGAAGAAAGATGGACAGTCAGTCCTCTGTTTCAGTTTACAGCCTCAGAAAGTCACTATGAGTCAGAACCAACTTGATGGCAGTGAGATGTTCATGAAATGTTAGCCCAGGCACAGGCTCTATCTACCATTGCATTTGCTATAAAGAAGGTCCAACTTGATCTCTAAAGCATGTGAAGGGGATCATCTTTGTGTGACAGCTTATCCAGAGTCATTCTTGCAAGTACTGATAGCTAAGAAAATGGAACACTGGCCACCTTACTGTGCCATGCTTTCTACTTTCCTTAATTGGGACTGAAAGAGATGGTGTGAAAAACAAACCACCACCACCACCACCACAAACAAAACACCTTTTTCATTTTGTACCCGTTTTAAAATTTACTGTATAATCCATTGGCTTAACCCAGCATCTCTCTCTCCCACAGGGTGAATATGATAGTCCAGGGGATGACATGAATGATAGAAAGGTAAGCCTGTCTTTTGTCACAATGAGCAGAGGGACACTAATTGCTTTGGGCACAGAAGACCATGGGTGGATTTGGAGCTGCAGAGAAATTTTCTAAATAGTCTATCTCCCAGCTAGTCTACCTTAACAGGTCTGCTCCCACCCATCTCTCCCTCAGGGAGGCATTTGGAAATGTGAGGGGCATTTCTGATTGTCACAATAATTTTTTAGGTATTTAGTGTCTGGTCTGAGGTAACTATACTAACTGCTCTAAAACATATCCAGTAGAGAGGCTGGAAGCAGAGGGATGTGGATGTGTGGGGGAAGGGGCTTAATCATTGGATTGTACAATTTGATGGGTGAGGGGGTGAGGGAAATTGAAAGAATTTGTTTGTATTTGTATTAGAATTTTGCAAATAAACTAGTAGAAAATGAAAAAAAAAGGGGGGGGGGAATAGTTCCATAGGAGCATTCTCCCATCCCATGTGATAACAGAGCCACAACTGAGAGACACTCAAGTTCCCAAGTTCCCTATTTTATAGACAGAGAAACTGAGGCATAGAAAGGTTGGGTACCTTGCCCAAGATCACACTGCCACAGTAAACAGAGCACTTGGAACGCTCTTCTGACTGGATTGGATTCTGAAATTCAACGCTCCTGTTAAAAATGTATTTTTATCCATGCCAGGATGGCTCTTTTGGATCATCTTTAAGCTATTCACTTTACCCTTTGGGTATGCAAATGATCTATAGTCCAAGTTACAGATGAGAAATTGAGAGAGGACGGCTTAGTGAGACTGGATATTCTGGGCGGAGGAACTGGAGGTTACATATGGGTGAAACCAAGTTTCCCTCTAATGACAGTCGCAGCTCCTGGCTATACAGCTCATGGTAGCTTTTCACTCAGAGTTCCTTGGATTTGCTGATACACTGCAAATTTAGATGTGTTCTCCTCCCCGGGATGACCTGCCACTCTGGACATCCCCAGCCTCTTTGGGAGGGATCTTCTGCTCTATCTGCTGTCAACCCTCCTCATACTGTTTTCTCACCCAGTTTCTCGAAGTCTTCAACAACTCTAGTGAACAGAGCAGGGTGGGCGAGGGTGGGATGGATGAGGAATTGCAGCCCAAGACGTTTCCCTCCCCCTAACTCTGTTGTCTGGAAAATCATTCATCCCCCAAGTTGCCTTTTGAGCAGCCTTCTTTTTATCCTGCCTATTAGTCCCTGTTATGAAGTGTTAAGTATTAAAAACATAAAAGGTCTTTTCCAGAAATACTGCCGTGATTGCTTACACATGTCCTCTCGTTGCCTGCCCAGGGAATCTGCTGTAGTATTTCGATGTCTTACCCTCATCTGTTTTCTATCTGATGCTAATAGTCTCGGTGTTTAATTTCCTGAAAAGTCCCGGATCAGATTTAAAGGAAAAGGAGGAAGCCTTTTTCTCCACATCTCACTTCTCTTACCCCAAACATTTTTATCCTCCTACTCTCTAAATTCACATTCTTCCCCTTTAAATAGTAATCACCAACCATTGCCCACTACGAAAGTCCCTGTTGGGTGGTGGTGGTGACCCCAGCCAATCAAAGTAGAGCATTACCGGAACATTCCAGGGACCTGGAACTCATGGGAGAAATCAGTCAGCCTTGTGTTATCTATTCTAATAGAGAAGTGAACACTAGACAATTGAAAATACGTTTGTATGTGTTTGAGGAATAATAAATTATTACTATCAACAACAGTAATATGTTTTACCAAAATATGTTCCCTTGTAGAAAATGATTTGCTTAAACTCAGTTGTGTACTGAGTAGATCATAGCTGGCTGAAGGTATAGGTATTGGTGGATAATCCTCGGTCAGTGTCAGAAGGAGGCATAGTGAAGACGAACAAGTGTCTTTGAAGTGTGAGGCTTTCTTTCTTGTGGCTTTCCCTCAGGTTTGCTGGCCACTGCTCAAGTTCTCTTTTCCCCTGCTAGAGGTATGGTTAGAGAAGTAACTTTTGTTGACAGTGGGGGATAAGAGAAGCCATAAGTGGGAGGTGAAAACTTTTTCTGTCCCTCTTGTTGGGAAAGGGATGCCCTTCCAGGAGAGGAGACTGATTGTAATGTTTATAAGTGATGGCATAGTGGGGACTGAGAAGCCTGAGTCCATAACCCAGCCAGTGCTCACAATCTGTTGACATGACTACATGTACTGGACCCTTTTCTATGGTTTCATTGGGGCATATGTAAGGGTGTGTGTGTGTGTGTATTTATCTTCTAAAGAAGGAAGTAAAATCTAGTTTCCTTTTGTTGTTGTTAAGTGCTGTCAAGGTGGAACTGATTCTTAGCTGTCCCTCTAGTGGGGTTTCAAAGGTTGTAAATCACTTAGAAGGAGGTTAGCCATCTTCCCTCTCTCAGTAGTAGTTGGTGGATTTATATCATCTTGGCAGTCAATTCCTTACCTGCTCTGGTGGTGCATTTAGTAGGGAGTTGTGCTTCTTACCCACTGGCCATGCTTAGGTGATGGTTCGAATCCACCGGCGGCTCTGTGGGAGAAAGCTGGAAAATCTCCCCTGGTGATTGGGCAGTCGCTACAGCTTCAGAAACCCAAAGGGGGATCTGCTATGAGGATTCCCCACTCAGTGGCAAGGAGAGAGAAAGAGAGAATGGGACTGTAATAGTGCAGTGTTCTTAGAGGTGACTGTGGAAAGGGATTTCGTTAGAATTTTGGTCTAAATTGTCTGCGTTCAAAACTGTGAAATTTGGAGAGGGTTCACTGAACAGTAGTTAGAGTAGAATGACTGCTCTGGGAGTCTGTAGAGATGGTTCTCAGGGGTCTCCCAAGCTTTCCAGGCTTCCATAACCTGGGTATTCTCCTCTACTCTTTTCTGAACTTGATGGCTGTCCCATGAGTGCCCTGGACTCATCTTAGATGGATCCAAGGTGAGCCTGAAGGCCCCTGAGGATGACAACCCTTCCACTCCAGCCTACCTGGAGCAGTTGCGCAACCTCAGTGACTCAGCCTCTGTCAGAAGCAGGAAGTCTCCCTCACTCCTAGAAGGCAATTAAGAAGAAGCTCCCTCTCTCCGGAGAGCAGGGCTTTCCTGCCTTCTTTGAAGCCAGGGCTTCAGGAAGAGAGAATAGCCTGGGTGTAAAGGAGTCCTTCCTGACTTCTAGTAGCTGCCTCCTTCTGTGTTTACCAGCCTTTTCCTGGTTCCTCAAGGATCCCAGAGACATGAAATGTCCCCATCTGTTTGGCCACTGCTTGCTTCTACGGCTTCCTTTTACAGGAGAGAACACAAGAAACAACATTGTGATGTGATTTTCTTTGTTGTTGTTGTTGGGTGCCATCAAGTTGGCTAGAACTCATAGCAACCTGGTGATTTTCTTTAGCATTGCTTAAACCTTTGGCATTGGCATCTTCTAGGTGTTGTAAGTGATTGCTTTCTGCAAGAGATTGTTAGAAAATGACCCATGAAAAGACAGAGTACTGAACTTTTAGAAACCTACCTTTCTGACAAGAAAGGTACATTTCTTCTAGTTTCCACTTATAAAGTTAATCTTATCACCCACCCTGCCCAACTCCCATTTTACTACTGAAGACGACAAGACCTAGACAGTGGAAGTGACTTGCCGAAGGTTATGACAGGTCAGTACAGGATCTGGAGCAGAGTCTACATCTCTCCAGTCCAGACCTCCCACCCTCTATTCCCCATGAGTGCCTCTGAGTTTGCTATAGCTGGCATCTTGCTGCCTGAGGACCTAGTGACTTGGGAGATGACTAGGAATGACAATCATCTTGCTATTCTTGGATGACGGTCATTGTAAAAGGTTTTAACACTCAACTTGGTCAGCTAGTCTCCTATCAAATGGGAAACTAAACTTGATACTTGTCCAAGTTCATCTAACAGGGTCAGTCAAGTGAGTTAAGGTCAGACAGATACACTTGGAATTATACCTGTGGCTTCCAAAGTAAGGGGCATTAAGGAGTGATCTACAGAACCTTCCTGCTCTTGGATAGCTCAAAGAGAGAAAGTGGGTAGATAAGAACTGTATTGAAAGATACTCAATGCTGAGGTTTTAGAGGCCTTGTTACAAGTTACCATGGCCATCTACCTGCACTATATTTCCATCATGCTTAGGATCATGGGGCAAAGCCACCTGAGCAAGCCTCCTTTCAGCATGATTTCTAGTCTATTCTGTGATCCTGGATTGCCTTCTGCATGATCCACTTGACCTCTAGCCATGTTATGATCAATGTCACCGCATAAGGGAAGGAGCAGCCTCATTCTCACCCCCCTCTATGCCTCTTTGAAAGGATGTGTGAGCTAGTGGGAGCAGAGGCAAGTGGACATCCAGGCATACTTGTTACATCACCTTCAGCATTTGGTGCTGGGTAGCTCTAGCTCTCTTATAAGGGGCTGCCTAATGGTTCCCTCCTTTGTTTAGACCCTTCTGTATTGAGCTCAGATAGCACTCTTACCTTCTCTCTGTACTCACTGAATATTTTACTTTATGCCCAGAGAGAACCAGCCTAAAAATGGGACTTTGGAAATTTTTCACAGCAGCTCCTGGATGCAATCAGGGCTGAGACTTTGATCTCGGATTCAGTTTAGGCCCGAGCCCAAACTGTGTCTTCCCTTAGAGTCAGATATCTGTTCTTGGACCCCAGTTTTGGTTGAACATGTGACTTAGAGGAATTTGCTCCAGAGGTGAGAGCCTAGGAGCCTGGCAGTGACGTCCTACAGCCCTCAAGGGGGGGGCCCTGCCTGTATCTCTTGACGCAAGCTGGCCTCTCTTGGGTCCCTAAATGATGTCACTGTGACAACCAGGTGCTAGTGAGTCTGGGGTTTACACTTGGGAGAATCAAAACCAACTGCAGTAGAAGAAACACCCAAGATGGGGGAACGGTAGTGATGGAAGAAATGGAATAAAAACAATAAGATCAGTCTAGGTGTTACCTCCCTGAAATAAACAACCTCCAAAGTGATGAATTCAGACTGTCTCTTCATGCCCTGTATAACCTCATTTATGTCTGGGTTTTGCAAATGGAAACAACAGTGGCTGCAGTTTGCCCTGTTGGGATTTATGTCATTTCTGGTTTTATTGTCCAGTTGTTGGGATGCACTATGACAACGAAAGTTTATATCCATTAAGTAGGAACACTCGTTCTCATTTCAGTTTTAATATAAAGTCTTTAAATGTTCTTGTGTAAAAAGGATAGTACTATTTATTGCTGGTGTTCAACTAGATATCCAAAATAGCTTATTAAATAGTGACAGAACTTATAAACCCTGTGTGAAGAGATGTAATGTGTAAGAAGAATAAAGAACACAACAAGAAAACAATTTTATTATAATACATCATTTATTATAAACAGTATTATTAGGTACCTCAGCATGGATAATAACATTGTGTCTAATTGATAATACATTATTCAATCACTATCAATAGATAGTTATCAGATCTTTATAACTCACATTTATTTATGGGAAGGAATGAGAAGCCGGTTTCTTTAGCCTTTAGTCATTTTTTCTGTGTTTCTCTAGCAAATGGGTTTGTTATAGTTGTTGTTATGTGTCATCAAGTCTCCTGAGACTCATAGCCACCCTATGTACAATAGTCCTAAACCCTGCTCTATACTGTGTCAACCGTATTGTCTCTGACACACCTACCCCCATTACTCTAGTGACTGAATCAACCATCTCATTGAGGATCTTCCTCTCCTTTGCTGTCCCTCCATCCTTCCAAGCATGACGTCCCTCTCCAAGGACTGGTCCCTCCTTTCAACATGTCCAAAGTATGTCAGACGCATCTTCAGAATCCTCACCTCCAAGGAGCAACGCAATCTGACCCTTTCTAGGATGAACCTGTTTTTCTCATAGCAGTCCACAAATGGGTTTAGGGGGATAACATTTTTACTTAGTATAATCAACCAGATAAGGTTGCCTCTCAATTCCTAATTTGTTATTGTATTTTTTTGTCTTTTTCAGTTGCTGTACCAAGAGTGGGCACGTTATGGAGTGTTTTATAAGTTTCAACCTATTGACCTCATCAGGTAAGAGGTAGGATGGGACTCTTGGGGAGCTGCAAACCTTAAAGATTTACTATCAACTCTTTTGAATTCTGAGAGTCTGTGGGTCAAGCAGAGCTTGCCGTGAACCCAGCTCCATGTCTTATGGGTGAGGAGGCAGCTGGTGGCAACAGAAGCAAAGTGGCTCCACGGGGGCAGTGAATAATGTGGCTGATAAACAAAGCTGCTTTCTCGCGTCTCCGCACTGTTGTAGCTCTTCTTCTCTCTGCTCTTTGGGAGAAGTGAGTGGAGCTATCTCGCTTTCTCATTTCTTTCTGGTTCATTCAGTTGTCTGAAAGAAGAGCTTGGCTTGAGCAGACTTGTGTTATTGTCCAAGTATTGGACCGAGGAAGGGAAGAGATGGCAAATCACATGAACAATAAAGCGGGCTGGCCTAGGGGCAAAGTTGGTGTTTTATGCCTTCTCTAGGTTATACAGGAGGTGAGACTGGTCTCGGGATTCTTTACTTCAGTGAAGAAGAAGAGGAATTCTCTTAGAGATGATGTCCAGTGCCTGGCATCTTGGGGTGTGTGTGTGTGTGTGTGTGTGTGTCAACTTTTATATAACATTGGTGAAAATACTTTGAAAGAACTTACTGGAATACAGTGGATCTGACTATTATAAAATGAGGGTTTAGAAACCCAGCTTCGTCTCTGCCTGTAGTGTTGGGGGGCCATGCAATGAAATGAGGACTCCCTGCACTGGGGGTTCTCTTCCACGTCCTGCTCTATGTGCTGCTGTTTGTTTGCACAGTCTTATTTCTTCTCTGGTCTTTAAGATCCTGATTTTCCTAAGCTGGGAGGTTGAACTGAGGGATCAGGGAGGTGGTTTAGTACAGCGTGCTCATTTGAAGAAGATGGGAGTTTGAACTTGCAGGGGGAGACCTCATGGGCTGACCTGGTGGACTTACTGCCACATAGTCACTTGTGGCACTTGAGTTAATGAATAGGCCTGCAAATGCAGGGATGGCTTCTGGCTGATTGCCCCAGACAGGGACTGTGAGAGGAGGGAGGCAGCAGCCAGAAGAATTGAGTCCAAAGGGACGAATTCCAGCTTCTTCTTGGGAAAAAGAATGCAACCACGGGGCCAGAGTTTGGGCAAGTTCACCTCCTACACAGCCACAGTGATATGATGGGCCTCCCAAGGATCTGGGAGCCTGGTCTCATGTCTCCTGACAGCAGGTGTTTGTTCCAACTGAAGGCTGTTAACTGAAGTGCATAAGTTGGGGAACTGGGGCCTGAGATGCTTGTGACCCCAGCCTGTCGCCCAGCACCTCCCATTCCCTGGCTGCCTCTTAGGCGACATAGGCCACCTAGACTGTTCTCTGGGTCACACCAAGGCTACTTCCTCCATTCCTGATGAGCTTTGATCTTTCTCTCTGGATCTCAAGTGGCCACCCACTTTGTCGCCTGTTTTCTCTAAGTACCAGTTAGTTTTTAAAAGTGTGGTTAAAAAAGACAAGAAATATATATATATTTTCTCCCATTTCAGAGAGCCCTGTCTTGCCCCCCGCCCGAGGCTTCAGGTGACTCACTGCCAGCTACTTGGGAAATGACTCCAGTGTGCACTCGGTTTGGCCACCAAAGCAGTATCACCTGCAGGGGGAGAATTGCCTTTGGAGCTGAGCCCTGTTTTGGGGTCTGGCATTTCCTGAGGACTCTAGAAACCCAGTGGAGCTCAGATCTGTCTAAACCCAGCTAGAGGGGGCATGGAGATTGTCCCTTACTCATCACAGATCAGAGGACCCAGGCAGCTCTGGAGACCTCTGGGAGGGGGAGGAAAGTTGGAATCTTGGGGACATAGATTAGTGTGTCGCCAGGTTGGAAATGTCACTGTTTACACAGTGGTATGAGAATCGCCTTCCTGGAAGGTGACAGCAATAGGAGGGTAGGAGAGAGGGAAGGGGCAGAGCCTTTAGGGGCACAGGAGAGCAAAAGAGGGAGGGAAGCTGAGAGAAGGCACAACCTAGAGAATGGAAGAGCAGAAACTGGGAGAGGATGTGAGCGAGTCCCTCTCACCCACCATGCCCCTCCCTAACTGTCACTATTCCCTTCCCAAATGGTCTCCTTGATCTCTAATTCTGCCAGTCACCTCCTTCCTTCTTTTCATCCTAAACACTTTTATTTCAGTGGTCCTGAGATGCCTTCCTGACACCAAGACCTCTTCAGGCCATTTCTCTCTCCTGTTACTTCATCATCTTTGCTGCCAGGTTATGTTGTAACTAGCCCTTTCAACCATGAAGCCCAGTGTCTCCCTCCCCAGGCAAGGCCATGGTGACTCCCCTGAGCCATCACTGGCCTTCACTTGTGGCAGGTTTTATTCCATGACTTATTTCTAATGTGAATTTTACCCTTTCTCTGCTTAAAATATAAGTGTTACAGTAGTCTAGGGAGCTCTGGTGTCCAGTGGCAAGAAGCTACACTGCAATCTCAAAAGCATGTGGTTCGAGGCCACCAGCTACTCCATAGGAGAAGGATGGGCAGTCTCCTCCTGTGCGATTAACTGCCTCTGAAAACCCACAGGAGGGTCAGCTATGGGTCAGTTCCGACTCTTCGGGACACAACAACAGGAACAACAACATCCTGAAGGATAGATAGAAGAAAGGGAATGTGACATAGATAATTCACACAAAGGCCTGCCCAAGGCATTTCCTCCTACTTCTTTGGCCATTTGTTGTTGTTATGTGTTGTTGAGTCACTTGCGACTCATTTACCTCCATAATAACCTTGTCTTCCTCCTGTGACACCATAATGCTCCTCCAAACACCAGTCCTTTGGAACATTCTAAACTCCCTTCCTAGGATCTTTGTGGCATGGTGATTATGTGCTTAGATGCAAACTGGCAAGTTGATGGTTTGCATCCACCAAGCAGCTCCATGGGAGATAAACCTGATGATTTGCTCTGTGACAATGACAGCCAGGAAATCCCTATGTGAGTGGTCCACCTCTACCAAAAGGGGTTCTAAGAGTAAAAACTCGACTTGATGGCGTCTCACAACAGCAGCAAAACACTTTCTGTTGAATAACTGGAAGCCCAGTAGAGGAGAAAGCGGTCTTTTGAAAGCCTTTGTATTAGCTATCTTGTCCCTTTTGCAACTTGGAACTTGAGCTTGCAGGTTTTAGACTCCTTTCCTAGATGCCTTTCCTAGATGTTTGGTGGCTGGAGGGGAGTCAGGGGTTTGTCCTTGCTAATCGCACCCGCTGCACCTTCACGCATGCCCAGCAGGCTGCACTGTGAGACTGCTCATGGATTTCTCCCGGGCTGATAGCCTCTCCTCCCTGGATCTTGCCTTTCACTCTGGCCCTGCAGGCCTGAGCTGTGCTAGTGTAAGAGTAATCTGGACAGTTCTTTGGGGAGGCATTCACTAGGGTCCCCGTTGAATGAATGCAGCCCAATTCACAAAATACTCTCCTGGAAACTTGCAGGCAGCAGCTCTTAAACCGTGAGAGAAACAAAGTTTTCTTAAATAGAAATGATGCCTGATCTGGAGGGACATGCCCCTTGACTACTTTTTATGATCTATAAGAAGGTCCTGATAGGGAAAGCAGTACATTTCTGCCCTGTGTCCTCGTTTAATGCCCCAACACCCAAGGAGGGAATTAAGTTCTCTTCTTTGGGATAATTCCGAGGCCTTAGTCTTTTGAGTTGTACAACGCTGATCCAATTTTGAAAACTCCAAAAATAAGGAGCTCTGGTGATGTAGTTAGTCTGCAGTGAGTTGCAGGGCTAGTCCAAAAGACCACACTTCTCTGATGGTTCAAATCCACCAGCAGCCCTGAGGCAGATGAATAAACCCCTCTCATGCAATTTAGTTAGGACTATAGTTTGTCTTTTCCTTAAAATTAGCATCTGCTCACAGGCTGATTTTTTTTTTAAGCGTCTGGGTTTTGATAGAGATGAGACAAAACAATAGGCCCCAAATCTCATCTGAGTTTGATTTAGTTCTTGACTATGTATTGCTGAAACTGATATCCAGAAATCATTGCATTTTCTGCGTATCTACCACTACCTGCTAAGAGCATGAAGTAGAGAGAATAGTAATAGCGTGAAGAAGAGAGGGGTGCCCAAGGCTGCCGGGTCTCAGGGAGAGTTATAATGTAGCTTTGGAGAGTCAGTCAAGGCAGTAATCCGCCAGCTTCATTCACGATACCAGGTCAGGATTAGAGTCTGGAGAGAGACAATTGGCCTTTTTTTCATCCATCTCTCTCAGGGATGCCCCCCTCTACAAGTGAGACTTCCTGCATTTAAATCAGGTCAAGGCCGGAAGCCTGTCCGTGTGCCTGGAGATAGTGGAATCCTCTTGAAGCCTGGAGATTTGAAGCCACTGCCACAGTTAGGTGACAGTGATGCCAAAGGAGTTGTGCCATCTCAAGAGCTTTATTTAATGCCCTTCCCCTGTGGACACCTGGTGTAACTCTACCCCTACTTTGCAACACATCTCTGCCATGCTAGAATCCTAGTCCTCACAAGGCTCGCCCACGGAGAACCTGCCCAGCCTGGTACCGCAAACATTTACTTTCCCTCCTATCTCAGCGTAAGGCTTAACGGTAGTTTGGTGCCTCCTTTTGGGTGGTTCTCACCTTCCGTGGAGGAAACTTGGGCTGCATTCTCAGCCAGTGCACCCCAGGCCCAGCTGCCACCTGTCAGCAGTGGCTCGTGTGCTGCTATCATGCCAAACTGGTTTTAGTGGAGCTTCCAGATACAGACAGACTAGGAAGAAAAACTTGGCCATCTGCTTTCAAAAGTCAATGAATGGAAACCCTATGAATCACTGCGGCCTGATTTGTACCTGATCATGGGGATGACAACAGACTTTGCAGTGGCTCCTTCCATTGTGTACGAGGTTGCCAGGAGTGGGGGGCTGACTTAAGGAGAACAGTGAGAACAGCCCTGAGACAGAGGCCCTTGTCCTTGCCAGGGTTCTGCAGGACTGCCACCAGCAGGCTGTGTCATTTGAGCCCTCTCTCCTTGTTTCTGGGCCCCAC